GGAAGCAAGAAAAAAACACAAGCATCAAACTGTTTAAGGCTCTTTTTGTGGCAACACACACACACCAGAACAATCAGCACCCAGTATAAAGACGCGTGTATCTGACAGATACATTTAGTGCAATCCAAACTAAACGTAACGCGAACACAACGCAAACCGAACCGCACGCTTCAACGGCAAATTTTACAATACAAACAACAACAGCTGTTAAATTGTTTCCATACATTAGTTTTTTACAGAGCACACGCTGTTATACTCAAAATGGCTGTTGTGCTCGCATGTTAGCACTAAGTGTTAACATTTTGGCTCACTGTTAACACACACATCTGAGGGATCGCGAGTGAAATTTCGTTGAGTGGAACAAGGGCTAGCCAATGCTAGCGCTTAGCATGACTCATAGCGGGCTGCACGAATGGTAGTTAACAGCCGTGGAGCGAGTGAGAGAGAAATGGACTAGGTGGGAGAGCGCTAGCGCTTGAGCTGCTTATGCTAGAAGTTCTGCAAGGTCTATTGAGTGCAATGCGCTGAATGCAGAGAAAGAAAGCAAGCCGCAAAGAGAGTAACATAGCCATTAACAGTCGCTGCAACAGCACAACGGCAGCCGCTTGTTGTTTGTATCCGCCAGATGCATTTGTATCTTTTAGATATTCCTGTAATGCTTCAATTTCTAAAGTGTTTCTTGTTATTTGTTTATGCATCTAATTTGTAGGTAAACAAAGGCCACAAACAATTACGCGGCAAACGCTTATCAATTAGCAGGTAATTAAGCGCTTTTTAGAAATCAAAAGAAACGACGCCACAAACTGTGGCAAAGGGTAACGCACTACACACTCGAGAACAGAAGAAAACAAACTGACCAACTAGCTCATTAGCTTTAACTGCAACTCCAATAGAAGCGACAACAAGTGCAGCAAAGCAAAACAAATGCCGCAATAGACGCCTCGTCTAGACCGGAGAGAAGACAAAAGGCGACACGAGAGACAGACACACACAAGTGACCCACTGTCCACTTGGTTCTTATCTCTAGCTGCTTAATTACACGCAACTGAAGACATACAGAGAAAGAGAGAGAGAGACAGAGAGAGAGAGACAGGGGGGCCAGTAGCTGTGCGACAAGTGCGAGTGGGACACATGAAGGGCACAACACAAACAACGCATCGTTGCCATCACGACGCTGGCGCTGCCAATAGCAAAGCTCTAGAACGTTTAATCAATGTCCTGTCCCGGTCCCCGGTTCGAGGTTGGTGGTTGCGGGTTGTGGGCTGTGGGAAGGGTGCAGGCAGTCACTTCAAGCATTTAATGGCAAGCATTTTGTTTGATATTTATGTAAATTTGATAAGCAAAACAGTCAATCGAACACTTTAATTGCATTCTATTCCCATTTTATATGCCATAATTATCAATAAATAAGAAAATAAACAAACTACTGCAACTAGAATTTAACAGAACAAAATTAAACTCATAAAAAGTTGATCTGTAAGTGGCTATCTGCAGTTCAATAGACCACATTTTACAGCAGAAGTCTAAGATACAACCCGTTTTTCGAGCTTTAAAACCCTTTGCCAAATATTTTCATGGCGAGGCGAAAGCTTTATATGAGCTTTAGCAGCTTTAATGCTTTTATAGAGCTTTTTAAGCGTAGCGCCCATATAATAACAAAGTTTTAAGAGCCAAGTACAAAACATTTGAGAGAATATCGAAAAAAACAGAAAGGGAGGAAAGAATTCAAAATAATAATCCAATTTACCCAAAACTCACTTAAAACAAGTATATTCTTAACAGGGCGATTAATTCAGTACTTGCAGGTCAATAGCCGTTTACAATCAGATGCCTGATTTTCCTAGATAAAAAGAAAACATCTCTCGGTTTTTCAAATACAAATATTGATCGTAAAAAATGTAAACAGAATAGTTTAACATGCGTGGGAAAGGGGTGGAGCCCGCCCAGGGCGCAGCCGCTGTTATGTGCAGGCATATCAAATGATCCACATAACATACACTCAGAAAAAATTAATGTAAGTTGTGTCGACTAGTGTATTTGAGTCTTTATATAAAAAAAATAATTAAAATAAAGGTTTGGCTCTTTGCCTAATAAATTTCAACCTCAGCTGGATTTCGAGAATATTTCTACTTGAGTGCAATTTTCTAGATTTTTCTCTGCGTGTATATGTATACACACAACTGTAAGAAAAAAGTGCCCACAGCAATTGATAACTCACACAACATGAGCCATAAAAATACATTCTATATTAGATTCGTTTCGAATGCACAATGAAAATTTGAGAAGACGACACACACATACACATACACACACTCACACACTACACATATGGTTGCAATGAACATAAACAATAGTTGGAAAAAATGTAATTTGTGACAAGAGTTGGGCGACAGCGAACGCTACTTAAATTGCAATCAGAAACAAAATTGATTTAAATTTGAAATATCAACAACGGCCTGCAAGGGGGACAAAATGCTAGGTAATTGCATTACGAGGGCGTGTTAGAGTGAGATAAAGAGAGAGAGGGAGAGAGATTGATAGAGAGAGGGAGAGCTAGACTTGAGAGCCGCTTGCCCACACATCGCATCCAATTAGGGCGCTGCTTGTTTTGCAGTAGAAAGTGACAAAAAAAAATAAGGAGGAAAAGTGTGCGATCACAGAAAGCTCGAAGAATTTCGGTTAACTGTATACGAGACGCAGTGAGAGCGCATAAAACAAAATGGCTGCCGATTGGCAAAAGCCTTTGCGGTGTATTCTGTTAATGAAGCTTATGAGCAGCAGCGCGCGCACGTCACAAGTCACTGAGCTGCAACAACAACAATAATAACAGCGACAAGCACAGCATACGTGAAGCGCATATAGAGAGAGATAGAGAGAGAGAGAGTGAGCAAGAGAGAACGAACCGCAATCAAAAACAAAAGGAGAGCAGGCACGAACCCCAGTCAATGGCTGCACCTGTAGACAGCATATTCATAGCATATTGCACGGACACCCCCGCAGACCGCCGCAGACCCCCACACACCCTCGCACACGAGGCAAAAGCACAGTTACGCTCAGGCTGACTGTTGTGGGGTTCATTAATGACGACGGCTCGACACGTTTGAGCGATCACCACCACAGCAATAATAACAACAAGTCGAGAGTGCTCCAGTCGTGGGCGTCCGACTGGCAGATACCCTGTACCCAGCTCAGAGCTGACGTATGTATGTACATACATATGTACAAAGCACCCACACTAGGCCAAATATACTTGCGATTACCGTACGAATATTTTGAACCTAATAGTGGTATCTACCTCTTAAAAACTCATAGACATACCGTATATTTATCGATTTCGTGAAAAAATGGGAGTTACCCACTCTCAATGGGTACAGGGTATACAAAATACCTAAACAACGAAAACGATTTTATTTTTAACATTAATAACGCATTTTTTGCTGGCCACGAATTATACATAAAATGGCGCGATCTGAACTGTTGCCGTTGCAGCGGTTAGTTATCGTAAAACAACAACAAGAACAGTAATTTCCGCGCAAACGCAGCCGACGCAGAAAGTGCGGTTGGGGGGTGGGGAAGCGTGGGTGAGCGGGCGCGACCGACAAGTGCAGAGACGCAACGCCAGCCAAGCAGAACGCACAGCATAAAACAGATAATAATAAATTTAAAAAAAAAAGCAGATACGGCACGATCAATGGCTGCACTAACCTACCCCCCCATCACCCCCATCCTATCGCTCTGCCCGCCGCCTACCCCTTAAGTGCAACGGAAATGCTCAATTATGCAATTCAAGAACAAAGAGAACTACTAAAATGGAAGAGAGCGAGTCGGAGAGAGAAATTTAAAGCTTAGCTTACCTTTTGACTGAACGCCGTCGCAGCTGCTGCAGCGGCTGCTGCTTCCTTGGCAACGCCGACGCCATCCGCAGAACTGGCGTGCGTCGACGGAGACGTTGCGTAGACGAACAGCGGCAACGAGTTGAAGTTACGTAAAAAGCCAGCGCCGTCGACGCCGCCAGCGGACGCATCCTTAAAACGCCGGCAGAATAGCAACTGTTTATTACAAGCGGCTGCTGAGGCCAACAGAGGAAGCAGCGTGGGCGTTGGCGTTGACCGCGCAGCTGCAGTTAGCGTTGCATCAGGAGCTGCCTTCGGCACTGATGCTGACGCTGACGCTGACGGTGGTGGCGTCTGTTCCTCTGTTGTTGTTGTTGTTGCGGACGCCATTGGCGTATCGCAATTTTCTTCTTCTTCTTCTGTTGTGGATTTTGTTGCTGCTGCTGCTGCTTTAGTTGTTGTTGCTGTTGTCGTTGGCATGGCTGCGCGTACTATAAAACAAAGCTGGCGGTGCTGCTGCTGCGCGCTTTGCAGTGGGCGTGGACGTGGGCGTACAGCTGCGAGCGTCCTTTGTTATGGCGGCGCGTGGTTTTTTTTAAGACGACGGTCCCACTATCAACAACTGGCTGCCGCATGTTGCAAATGCTTACGCATAGAAATGACCTCTAACTAAATTATCTTCACACACACACATATGCACAAACAGACGCACATACACACACGCACGGGCACTTTGTCGCTTCGCAAATCGGCAGCAACAACAACTGTAAAAAAACTGTAGCCGCAGCCGTGTTACTTTAATTGATTATATACGAAACGTGTTGTCGCTTTGAAACTTGCAAAACTGACGCGTTCCGTTTGTTAAAAAATTAACCGAATTGATTTATTCATGTAAAGTTTGCTCGCTAATTTCCTTTTTTTGTTTAAATTTGCAGACAGTTGAGTGTGGCCGAACTTCACAAGTGGCAATATCTGCTATAGCAGCGTTTTAAATGTACCAATAGTGTAAGCAGTCTGGCAACTCAGTTGCTAATAAAAATGTAACACTGAAAATAACCTTGTTTTATTGAAATACCAAAATATTTTAAAAAATACCAACAGCTGGTCGAAATTAGATTTCCATATCAAATTTTCAAACAGAGTAGCTGTTCAAACATTAGCACATACATAGGACAACTCCATCAAAATTCGTCAGTAAAAACATTCCGGCAGCAAGCAACACGTTGTGTGCTCATGAAAACAATTAATTAACAGCATTTAGTGCGCGCAGACAGAAAACGCAGCGGACATACACAATTGCGTCGCCGCCGGTTTAAACAGTTTTTGTTGGTTGTAATTTTCGCTGTGCCTTCGCTTACAGTTTGACGCTGATTTTCGATAGCTAAATTTCCATACGAGACACCATTTTTCCATTTCGCCTTGCCTCGCCCCAGACGCTTATCTGCTGCTGCTGTCACTCAACGTAAGTAAATAATTTATTTAAAAACTAAATTAGGCCCATTTCGAGTTGCCACATGGATTAAATAGTCTCTTCTCCTCTTTTTGCAGATAATATCGATCTGGCCAGTCAGTAAACTGTATGATAAAGATAGCTGTGCTGCTCTTTTGACGAGTGTTGGCAAAAATTACGCGTTTCACAACACCTAGACTCTTAAAACACTAAACTCGTCTCTGTCACACACGCGCACTTTGAAACGTCAATCGTTTTGTCCGCTGTTAGTCATCGTGTCGGTCTCACTCACATCCGCTCGGCGCTTTGAACACCAAAAAATATCGCAGCCGTAGTTGTCGTCGGGGCGCCGTTCTACTCGCAGTGCTGCAATATTTCTAGACTGTAACCTCGGAGAAAAGCTGAGCAGAAAATAGCCAGAACACAGTGAAAATATAAAGCCTACCGCAGCTTTTGTGTTTCGTTTGGTTTTTCTATAGCATTTTTCAATAATTTACAATCAATTTCTCGTTTCGTGTAAATCGACAAAGAACAAAAAGTAATCGAAAAGCAAAAAAGAAACGTACCACAATACACACTCACCAACACAAACACCACACACACAAGAAAATCAAATTTCAATCAGAAAATGGCGTTAAAAAGAATCAATAAGGTATGTGAAAAAACGATGAAAATAATCAAATCAAATTGTACAAAGCATTTTGGCATTAGCATGCATTTCAAAAGTGCAAGTTTCGATTTGTACCAACAAAAAATAGAAATGAAAAAAAATGTGAAAATTTCTTGTGCGACAAAAAAAATTTATGCAAGAAATGTGAAACGTAGGAACGACAACGGCAATGTACAAAGAAAAGAAAGACAAAAAAAAAAAAAACGAACCGAATACGTGAGCGAAAGAAAACGTGCAAAAAGCATAAGGAAAAATGGGCGATGACGACGTGCATTAATTACAACTTAAACTAAAAGAGAAACAAGTTTAGGCTTAGTTTTTAGTTGATGATTGACGTAAAAGCTAACAATTTAGAGCTTGAGCTTTTTATGGGATTCTAATTAGAACTGGCTGGACATCTATCGTGTGTGTGTATGTGTGCTGGGCAAGGCAACGGGCAACGTGTACGGCCATTTGTATTAGTCGTTGTTTCCGTTACACAGTAAATGTGACTGCGTATGTGTGCCTACGAGTGCAGTTGTGCGGGTGGTTGTGTGTGTGTGTGCATGTGCATGTGCATATGCATGCATTCAAGCCGGGCACCTGGTCAACGCCGCCGTCATCTGGGCTGCTTTTGGCCAGCAGAGACTCAGCGCCGCGCTCGGGCTCCGTTGTGTTACCCAATACACGCTGCTGTATTTATATATACGTATATATATATTTATATATGTGTGTATTGCAGGGCACTCACACGCGCTTATGCTTTTGTGTGTGCATGTGTGTGTGTTGTTGGTGCCAGCGCCACAGAAAGATCCAGCAAAAAATAAAACACGGCGAATACATGAAGTAAAAGCGTATAAAATTAACCTAACCTTACTTTTTGCGCTGATAATTCAGAAATAGTGCTGCCTGCCTATATATACACAAGCATACACATATGTATGTATGTATATATACTTGTACGTATGTATGCACATTGCATTAATGTGCCGACTGTGTGTGTGTGTGTGCGTGAAAGCAAGTAAATTTCAATAATTATTTTTGCGGTGACTAACTGCTGAAAGTTCCTGGCTTCTCGCTATCCTTGTTGCCAATGGGCCAGCCCAAATGCATTTCATATTCAAGCAATTGAATGTGCATTACAGTCGCATGTTAATTTCCATTGGAATTTCTGTTTCAGTGTCCTTTTGTACAAAGTTGCCCCATCTGCTTTTGACTCGCTCGCTCTCAAGGGAAAGGCGAGTCACAATTTTTCGCATTGAAGCTAGTTTATATTCAAATGTTATGCTTTTACTGTTCGCAAATAGTCTTATTATATTTCTATCATACGCGATTAAATATAAAACTCGACAATTACAGTTTGATTTGAGTGCGGCCGGTTCACCGTCGTAGCCCCCATCAACACACACACACACACACACGCACACATTTATATGCATTTGGAGTCTTTGCACAGTCACAGCCAGCGCACAGCAGTATATTAAGTTTGCCATCTCGCTCGCACACTCCCATGAGACGCCCAAAGAGTGCTGACTAAAGTCAACGGCAGCTGCTAGCTCGTTTGGTCATACACAGTGTTTGGCTCTTTCTTGCTCGCTGCTGTGAAGCGAATGGGGCAGTGCTAAGAGGGTGTCTGCGTGTGCGTGCGCGCGTGGCTGTGTGTGTGTGTGAGATGGCAACTAAGTGTAGTGTTGAAAAACGCTGCGACATGTCGAGCACCAATAATTACTATAAAAAAATAATTTAACATAATTTAAATTTAAATATTGTATGCGACAGTAAAATATGTAAATGGTTGCTAATAAGCCATACACGCAAGCATATATATATGTATACATATATATATATACGTATACATATGTTTGTTTGTGTGTGGTGTATGAATGTCTGCTCTTGTGTTGGAGGGGGTCTGCTGACTGCTCGAGCCACAAAAGCAGCGACGCTGTCGTTGACGTCTGCAGCGTCACGAAGCGCGAGCGTCATGGCCATTGAATTTTTTCTTTGGTGCTGCTGTTTTTGTTATAAACTTTGATACGTACATATATAAATGAAATGAAAACGAAATGTTAGTGAAAATGAGGAAGAGCCAGTAATGCTAAATGAATTAATGTTAATTTTATTTCTTGTATTTGTATCTTTATGTAATATGTCCCCCTTCCACTCAACCAGCAACTTACAATTAGCAGGAAACTGTTTTGGTTTCCCCCTCTCTTTCGCACTTGTCTCTAGCATATCGCCAAGGTTTCGCTGATTGAGCTGTTTGTTGTTGTTGTTGTTGTTGTCGTTGTCAGTTGGCCTGAATTGCCAAAAATGAATTGTACTAATACAATAAAAGAAAGAAAAGACGATACCCGCTGTTTCAAGCCGGGCTCTCGTCTGCTCTCTCTCACTCGCGCTCGCCGATCAATCCATTGTGTTCGTCTGTGTGTCTGTTTACTTGTGTGCGAGTGACCGTTAGTTTGTTATTATTTGAATTATAAACCAATACGCTATCACTTGTCACCGCGTCTTTGTTGGAAATGCATGAGTCATCCCGTCGGCCGCGGCCGCATTGAAAGTCCCCTCGAACTTGACGTTCGCGTTTGACGTTCGTTTTGTAACATTTTTCTTATGCCTTTCTTTTCGTTGTTGTTGTAACTATTTTTTGCTCAACAGGTACTAGCCGAAAAGCGCGTGGCAGTACCATAAAAAAAACCAATAATGTCAAATGCAGATACTTTTAAAATGCGCCACATTTGATTTGCGTATTTCTTACGTAGTCCGATATTTGTACGTACGTCAAAGGGAACCCAGACAACAACAACAACAACAATAAAAGATGATGCTGCGACTGCGACTGAACCAGTCAGCTTTTAAACTTCTTACCCCCTTCACTTAATGTGCCCCTTAGTATGTTTTGTGCCAAGGCTCTCGTTTTGCTACCTTCCGCTCAGCTCATCTTTTTTTTTTCGCTGTGCGTTTTGTTATATATTTTTTTTCTTATATTTTGCCGGTTTACTTTACACCTATTTGTGCGCCCCAAGTTGGCAGCTGTGCTGCCGGGTACATTGGTCAGGAGGGGGCAGGGGCAACAGCCGCTCAGCTGTGTGCGTGCGGCTGACAGAAAGAGAGATGGCGAGCGGAGAGTGCGAGAGTGGGAGAGCGAGAGCAAGCAGTGTGCTGTGTTGCTGTGTTCTGTGGTGTCTTTTGGTTCGGGCCAACGAACTTGGTTTTCGCGTCACACACATTTGCCGCTGGTCGCTGATTTGATGCGAACAAAAATTTTCATATTTCTGTATTAAAATGCTTTTAAATATTTCTGCATTAACATGCACAAATGCACAAATATATGTAGATATGTGTATATATGTATGAGGAAGAATTTTGTTGTCCTTAAGAAATGCGCACACAAAATGCTGTTCAATTCATTGATAATTACTTTATAAATGTTCTATGTTTGCATACTCTTAAGTACAGTGAAGCTCTTGAAATTGTGGTTGTTGAGTCCCTTTTCCTTACTTTTCTGATAAAATAAAAGTGTTCTCCGCTCTTTTGACCAATAAACTGGTTCAAAAAGTATTTCTGGAGCGGACAAATACGAAACTTTCCCAAACGAGCAAAATATTACACTTAAAAGTATAATTTTTCATTTTCTTTCCATTTATCAATTACATATCTAGGAAACTGTTATTTTCTTTTGAGTTTCTTCATGCGGACATCTTCCTTAGCAGGTCAAAAAAAAAAAAAAAATACACTGGAAGCATAGGTGACCGCTCGAGGAATCATTCACTGTTTTTTGTTTTTTTCTTTTCTTTTATAACAAACATTTATAGCGCCTTTTACTAATCTATTGTTTTTTGTTCTTTTCGACAGGAACTGCAAGATCTGGGCAGAGATCCACCTGCACAATGTTCAGCTGGACCAGTTGGAGATGATTGTGAGTACAACGGCGAAACACGCCCCAACGACTCGTCACGCCTCGTCCAGCCCATCGATCAGCCTATGTTATAAGCACACTGTGCATTATGTAACTGTGCCAATGCGTAGATTCCTACCCTCTGCTTCCTCTTCTACGACTTGCTCTCTTTGAGCTTTTTATAAATAGTTCACGCCGCGCTCTCTTTATAGAGAAGTTAGCTTTTGATCTGATTCGTCACGTCACAACTTGCAGAACGTGACTTGGCAGTTTTATGCACATATTTATGTATATGCTTTATTTCTACTCTCTACACTAGTCTCTCGCAAATTAGAAATGTAAATCGAACCACTTATAAGAATTTAATATTCCACGCGAAATTCGGACTCTAATTTATAGAAAGTTACTATTTCCGAGCGATCCCTTATTTCATTTTAATGTTCTTAAATTAAAATATGTCTATAGACCAGGTCTATATAGTATTCATTGTGGTTCTTTTATTCAAGCGACTACTGTACCAATTTCTCAACTCGCATCTCTATTTCTGGTCTTTTTGACTCGTTTTGCGGTGCAGCTCAAAATTTGAAATTTCGGATTTCCATTTCATGTTAACGCGTGAGTTTTTAATGTTATAAAGTTACTGTTAACGCTGCACTCGCACAAACATCGGTCCGCTATATACATATATGTGCGTGCGTGTGCGTGTGTTAAAGCCAGCTTCGTTTGCTATGGAGGTCACCTAAATGACGTCACTTAAAAGTGAAATCGTGTAATTAAAGGTGGTTTATTTTTTGAGGTCGCATTCGCCTGCTTGGGCAGACGTGTGAGTAATACATAGAGTTGAATATAGGCATTATGCGAGTAGTCAATGCTAATTTAACAGAAATGTGAAAAATCGTTTGCTAAAACTGTAAGCTTTTGTTATATTTTATAAAGCTACTGATAAAAAGAGCTTAAGGAAAGCTATAAAATTCATTATAATATATATTTTCCCTATCTCCTGATCTAAATTAATGTTCTAAACAGATTTATAACACGTTAAGGTCCAAATCCACAAATAAGTGTCTGGAGTAATATCCTGACTTCACTATGCTCAACATTTGTTGCATTTACAAACTTCACGTTCTGCGATTCCATTGGACTGTATCAGTTATCGGTAATATATGAATGGCAAAAGTACCGCTTCTTTAAATAAACAGCTGATCGGTTCGATTTGATTACCTAAGATCCGCAGTTTGCCTGCCAAAGGTCAACTGATACGGTCTCGAAGTAGGGGCTCCATTCAATGGACTCCGCTTAGCTTTTTTGTTATATCACTTGTTTGTGGCAATGATACTTTCATATTTTCCATAACATCGATACGAATTTCGATAAATCATCGCAAAGATGTGAATTACTCGGGGCGAATACCAACAGTTTTGCTTTAGATTTACAACATACTTCACATTCGCAGAAAATGTAACATTCGCAAGAAATAAAAGAACCTGTTAGTGGAATTAGACTATTAGAGACTACTTAAATAGGTCTAGTTAGAAGTTTTTAGATTTAACATATAACATATTGAACTTACGAAAGTTGAAATATTCAGATGACCCATAATTTCTTCTGTTTTATATGGGGTTAAATACATTTACATAATTTTTTTTTAATGACAAAAAAAATCCAACTTTTGAAGCGAGACATTTCGATAAGCGAGTGAGATCACTGTACCAAAAAAGTCAACGAATCGATTACAAAGTAAAATTCAAACATCAATTGTGTATTGTTACAAATTTCTATTGATTCACATAGTCAGAAAATATTCCTAGACATTTCCGCGACTATCTTGTGCTGATAACAATGTAAAAGCTGCATTAAGAATTGCTCTACATGCATAATCAGCATTATTAGCACAGATAATAAGATAACCCATTTTATTTAGCATACGTATATTTTTATTTATTTTATCAGTTATAAAACAGTCCCATCCATGTCATGAACAGTTAACAGTTAAACGCTACGCTTCCGCCGTGCTGTGTTCTTATCAGCGCTCCATTATCAGCTGGGCAGTTAATGTGTATAAGAAATTACGTGGCGATAACCAATTACAGTCGAACTCTGCGCGTAAACTGTCACTGTCTCCCCCGACAAACCAAACAGAGAGCAACAATGAATCTCCAAACAAAGAAAATCACATTTACGCAAAATGTAATTACAAATCATTTTGCAGCCCACAATTGTTATCGATAACCGAAGCGATACGTGTAAATGAATCGATGCCTGAAGAAGCGACTCATTTTGTGGCGAAACTCCAACTCGATTCTATAAATGAAATTACTGTAATTGTATTGCAAACACACACGCGCACTACCTCCCCAACCCACCCCACCTCACCCCGCTTTCGAGCTGGCACGGGTCGGCCCAGTTCTCAGCCCAAAAGCTGCTCGGGCTGAGTGTGACATTGAGCAAGTAGCTCCGCAATAGCCTTGGACAATGGGTGCGAGCGGGACGGCAAGTTCTCTCTGTGCTGCCAGCGTCAGCTGCAACGTCGCTGCCAGCAGTCGGTGCCAAGGCTCTTTGGCAATTGTTTGTTTTTGTTCTTTTCGCTTAACTCTTGTGCTGGCTGCGGCTGTGGCTGCGGCGGCGGCGGCGGCGGGGTTATCGCTGAGAGAGCATGCGAACAGAGAGCAGAGAATGAGCAATTGCATTAGTTTAACTGTTCAGTTCTTACAGCTTTAATCCTCCCTTTTCCCTCTCCCTGCCTCTTAGGGCAGTTTTGTGCTAATCTGTGGCTTGGCGTGGCATCGGTCTAAATATGCTTATTTATAATATACAACTATTACAATATTTATAACTTAAACTGTCTTCTTTCTATTTACAGTATTTCACTGGCAAGCTACAATAATGGGCCCGGTAAGCTGACAGCTCTTTGTCCCTGGATTGAAATTGAGTGTTTGTGATGTTGGTTTGGTTCACAGATTGCTAGAACCTTCTCTTTAAAAGATCTTTTAAGGCAGTATCGATACCTTAGCGATACATTTCGCTATTCAACTGAGTAGAGTCTGTTTCTAACAGATGTACTCTGAACGTTTTAATATCTAATCTAGTTATTCTTTTAGCTACATCGTTTTACTGGCTAAATTAGGCAAATCTAACTTTATAATACAAAAATACATTAGATTCTTTTGGGATTGCCAAAGCTTAGACCTTTGCTTTCTCATTCAACTGCTCAACTTTTGACTGTCTTTTTTTTAGGTTAATTTTTGGACAAAGTCTTAATCTAAATATATTATTTACTGTAGTCTGAAGCTAGTGCGGGTTTTGCCATAATTTTAGAAGAGTATTGAATGGCTTTTTAAATTAAGACAAGTTTAATGGTAGATATCTATTTAGAATCAGTTGTTCAACCTGATAGCGAATATGTATATACTCTTTTGTGTCATAGAAGTCGCGTTCTAAGGCTTACTCAGTTTAAGATCAGCGTGGGTGGAGTTCGAGATAAAACATGGAACTGTTTTCAGACTTTATTTACGTTGGATTACTTTGAAATATTTGAGGGCAGAAGCCATTATTTCGACACAGTCTCTTGTGAAAGACACTCTGGTATCGATAAAAAAAAACGATAATCATAAAAGGCTGCAATTCGAACTTATCCAACTCCAAGCTCCAAGTCAACAATAAATTGTTTGTCTTCTTTTTGTTATATTTCAATACTAATTAGTGTCAATTTTTGTATCATATTCACAGCCGGACAGCCCTTACCAAGGAGGTGTATTTTTCTTAACTATACATTTTCCAACAGACTATCCTTTTAAGCCACCGAAAGTGGCCTTTACAACACGCATATACCATCCAAACATTAACAGCAATGGATCTATTTGCCTCGATATATTAAGATCTCAGTGGTCGCCAGCATTAACTATTTCAAAAGGTAAGTGAAATCGATTAATATATATACATATATATATATATTTATATACATTTAAATGGATTTGTTAACATGATTTGTTTTTCTCTTTCGATTGCAGTCTTATTATCAATTTGCTCTCTACTCTGTGATCCCAATCCAGATGATCCGCTTGTTCCAGAGATTGCCAGAATATATAAAACCGATCGGGAAAAATACAATGAGCTGGCACGGGAGTGGACTAGAAAGTATGCTATGTGATGCGTTCCAGATTGCAGCAACAACAGTCCAACAATAACAACAACAACAACAACAACATCAGCAACATCAGCAACAACAATAACAAAATTAGCAACAGCAAATAAAACATCAACAACAGCAACAACAGCAAACACAACAAGAACAGCAAAAACAACAGCAACAAAGATAACATTTAACAATAGTTACAACAGCTGCACACTCCCCGGCAACAGCTTCAGCTCCAATAAGAACGCCAACAACAATATCAAAAGGAGCTGCGGCTGCAACAGCAACAACAACAGCAACAGCAACAAGAACAGTAACAACAGCAACAACAGCAGCAGCAGCAGCAGCAGCAACGAGTGGAACGGAGGCAAAGTAGCAACAACAACAACAGCAACAGCAACAACAAATGCAACAGTAACAATAACAGTTACTGCAAACAGCAACTGTCAAATTGCCATCAAGTTGATTTGACCGAGAAAACCGCAGTAGCAGCAGCAGCAGCAGCAGCGCAGCAGCAGCATGATGAGAAAATAATTTAATAATAATTACTGAAAACAAAAAGAATTATGTAAGCATAAACATTTAAAGCGAGAAAGCTACCAACAACACAGCATCCCACACATAATAAGTTTAAAAACAAAACTACAAATAAAGATCAGCTGGAAAATTATTATTATTATTATATTATATTTAAAGAACCGGAAAAATAAAAATTACAAAAATTCAATTCTCTATCACGATATCGATTATATCGGTATTGAAAATGATATTCCCTTTTGTCCTACACTTGAAATACCAAACGCTCCATCTATTATATCTAAAATTCAAATGAAAAAACAATTGTAGAACTTTTTGCGATAAAAACAAGCACGTTTTCGATATAAGATTGAATGAATTTAACGTATTTGGTTCTTGAAAGACGGCGCTGTGGAAAAGAGAGCTGAACATTTTTTATTAAGTAGGGCATCAATGAAATATAAAATAATTATAATTCGCATGGGATGTACATCAAACTTAAATACCACTGACTACTTTTGTTAAGAATTCTTTATCCTGGGAATCGAACCTTGAGTCTAGTTCTCTGACTGGAATACTTCTATATAATTCCATCCACTAATCAGCGAAGCATATAGATTTCTTTCTTGATACAACGAAAACTACCCAACATTTATAATATTCCAATCGACTTTGTTTCTATTCATAATATGAGCTCGCTTTATCAGACCTAGATCTTTTTTTTTAACTTGAAAAAGTTAATTTACTGTGCTTAAGCGAGCTATATTATATCATAATCAAAGAATCGCTAACGAAATTATCTTTGGTTTGCGGAAAACTATGTATGATTTAACATTCTGATATTAGTCACTTAAATGTTTCTTATATGTAACTCAATTTTCGATGGAATGCCTAAAATGGAATATACTCATATACGTATACATATGTGTACGATATTCATGTCCGGGATTCCGTTTTATTCATAAAGTTTAAATCTATGATGCTTAAGATATATAAAAGGAAAAAGTACTCGACATTCGATGAAATTTTATTGGGGTCCGATTATAATATGTTTTATTTAGTAAGGTTTCATAGTGAAGTTCGTAGCTGCCAATTTTGGTAAAAATATAAAATTTATATTAAAAACATATTTTTTTACATAAAAAGTTTTTATTAAAAACTGAAATTGTAACTGAATATTCCGAAAGGAATAAGATTTGGATCGTTAATTATTGAAAAACTCGATCAAAATATCTATAAAAAACAATTTAAAAATTTCGGGGCAGCTATGTCTGTAGAAACGGGTATATTCGAAGTTTCATCAGGAGATAGGAAGGGGTCAGAAAACTAGCTTGATTATCTCAGCTAAGGTTTGTCGTCCGATCTGCAATATATGTGTACATACTTTGTGTGATTAGAAATCTATATTTTATCGTGTTACACACTTAGTGTCTAAATTGTGTTACCCTCAGCCAGAGTAAAAAGTATACAAATCGGTCAATGTGAAGGGCATAGGAATTTGCGCCCTGCACGAATGTCTAAGGCAGCCACTGTACAAAATCTCAAAGGACGGGCATTGAGCGTAAAACAAATTTGATCAACATGCAGGCATGAGGAATGTAAGCTTTTTCAGAAGCTGGCAACAGCTTCAGCATGTTAAATAAACATTTAATCAATTTTGAGACTCAATTAATAAACAGCGAAGTACGTCGAAGCCAAAGTTGACGTTGGCTGCGCTGCGCCGCACTTCTGTGAAGCTTTTTTGTCGGCTTTACCGATTCACGAGAAAGCCATTATACATACATATACATATGTATAGGTAGGTGAGCGTAAGTTGTCGTTTCCTCTGAGCATTGCGTCACAGCATTTGTTAATACAACTGCCAGCAAAGCTTAAAGTTGTGACGTCACGTTTAGGACTCTCACATGAACGAAACGCGGAACTGTGCAAATGCGCGCTCTGCAGACCTTGTCGACGATCACAGCGCATTTTGCACTTCTCTCTCGCACGTTTCATCTTGCTCTCCAAATCTCTCGTTTTTTTTTCGCCGCTTTCGACCGGTGTTTGTGTTAGTGTGCGTTGCTTGGGGCCCAATCTTTGGCAAGTTGCCCGCCCAGTCGCGCCGCTGCAGTCTTCAGTTGACTTTTAGCTGTCTCGCGAGTGGCTCGTGAGTGTTTCGCCAAGTGAAATTTCTTGTTCTGTCTGGCCGACTTGAACAGAAAGTATGTACGTACATATGTGCTCACATCTGAATGCAGATGTACATATGTATGTATGTATGTAAATACGTACAAATGTGCAATTAAATGTGCATAAATCAATATCAATTGAAGTTCGCCAAGTGTTAGAAAGAAAACAAAAACAATTAAAGTTGCTTTTTGATCAATTTTACGTTGATTGCACTCGCACGTGCATTAAAAATCCAAAGCCAGACAACAAAATTATATTTACATAAAATTTGGTTATGCAAACAATTCCAATAAGAAGAGAAATGTATGTTAGTCTTTGCTCACGTGTATTTATAATTTATTTATATATATGCCAACTGCATATATGTATATCTAATGGCGTATATATGTACATACATATATTTTTATATATGTACATACATATACATATATGCATTTGTGAGAATTGCGCTTTAGAAATTTTCGGGTTCTCATTAAACTGCAGCTCAGAGGGCGGCGATCAGGTTCAATATTGTAATTCGTTGAGAAGCGCTTTCTTTACGGAGCCTCACTTGGCAACACAGGCACGCACGCACACACGCACGCACGCACACACACACACGAACGCTTAGCTCTTCGCTTCCCGAAACAGCAGTTGCCAGATTTTTTGTTTAGAGGCCTTCCTCGATTTCACACTATTCCGCGAATGGCGACAGAGACGCAGCCGGTCTCAGGCCAGATTTGTTAAGCCTAGAAATAACTTATAAAGTATATTTAATCTGCCTCTTACCTGTTAGCCTGAAACAAGATGAGTCCACGCCCACACGAGAGCCTTGCGGCAGCTCAAATTCTGTCGGATCTGGAGCTGAGCAGCGCAACGACATCGTGCTACAATCGGAAAATATTAAAGGATGATGATAACTGGGTGAGTAGCCAGCGTGCTGATAAGAAACTACAAAATAGACCGTGCAGCACGTGTACTGCGAATTGAAGACCAAAGCGAGATGCTCAAGGAGAGAGCTCAACTTGCACACACACAAAAACGCGAGCGCGCGCAAAAGTTGAGCTTCCAAATGGAGTCAAGGTCAATTATGGGTGTCTGTTGCCGATCATTGTGCGCTTACATAATGCACATACACACACACACACACACACATATTGATATATATAAATATATATATTTACATGCTTGCATATGTATGTACGTATTTTCGTACATTTGTCTCGAGGGCATTGCGAAAGTTCCATTCACGCAGATTTCCTCAAGTTCAGTCGAACTTGAAACTGGTTTTGGGTTTTTGTTTATGTTGCACCGAAAAAAAACATCAACAACAACAAGTCATGCATCCGTCTCTTGTCGCATAATCTTGTAGGCTTATGAAATTTCACGCAGTATTCAGCGCATCACGCACTTGTTGTTATTTGGTTATATAATTTGGAGGAGGCTTGAACAAAAAAATAAAAAAACTTACACAACAAATGAACGCCTAAGCCGGCTTACCGAAAGTTCGCATAACTCTCAATTCAAAGCGTTGCTCAAGCTTACACGGGCATGTAGAGCTTTTGTTGTAAGTGCGCCCAAGCAATCGCTCGCTCGCTCACCCGCCTTCTTGCTATCTCTCTCTCTCTCCCCTAATGGGCTGTAACATCGCGCGTCGAGCTTTCGCGCAAAGCTTTTTTGGATAACTTGGCATGCAGTGCATTTGGTTGGTTTTAGTTTCGTTCAAGTTATTCAACGAAACAGTTGATAAAAGTTTGCAGTTCAAATACAAACGATAAACAGTTTAAATTTGGACACACATTTCGAAATTTAAACTATAAAATATGCATATTTAATGTATAGTAACAAATATAAAAATCAATAAATAAAAAACGTTAGCCACACTTAAAACCATTTTACAATCGTGATCTTTTACAACGAGCTATTGAATATGGAAACCACAGTCATAACTACCACAACAACAACCACAACAGAATTGAAACGCAATGGGCGCAGCAACAAAAAGAAAAATGTAAGATACATATAGGCACATCCAAGTTTGTAGAGATACCCATTAAAGCCCTAGTGCTTAGACTCAGCAAACATTACGAAACTAGCTACGTCAATGTCTAAATTAAAAGCGCATCCTGTTTATCAATGACTCGCCATTCGAATCTATTTACTCGGTCAATAATGCAAATGCATCGATTTTTAGCTTTAAATTGTTTTTTCATTTTGGTTTTTTTTCGCAATTTTTATTTTGTTTACTTTATGTTGTTTATGCTGAAATATCTGATAATGCACTTTGCAAAGCTATTCAATCAGCTGCTGGCTGTGCTTAACTGGAAAACAGGCGTCAGAGCAGACGCATAGCAAAATGTTAGTAAAATCATTTAGCCAGAAGTAACGTATATGTGTGGGTAAATATTGAAACTTGAGCAATTTATGAACTAGATATATGTATGATGTGGAAGCTCGTGTATTATTTAGCTGGAAGCGCTGTAAAGTTAACAGTTGGTTTAGTTTTTCGGCAACATTAAAATATTTTATACAGCTGCACATTTTGGTTTTTTTTTTATTTTATTATTTTAGAATTGTGTTTGCTTAAATACAAAATAAATAGAAATTAACATTCGAATTTCTTAGTTTCCTTTTCCCTTAACAACGAGCCTCTGCAATTTAACAGCTGCGTGTGTGTGTGTGCCAACATTTCTCAGTGGGTGTCATTTCTTAACAGTTAACAGGCTCGTGCCGTCTCAGCTTACGCATAAACAAGTGCAAAAAGCTTTTCAAAGCATTTAGAGAATGCAAATGCAAAATACAAAAGCAACATTTGTAAATGTAAACAAAACGTCATCAACCTGTTACAGCGCACTCTCACACACACGCACGCACACAAATGTGCCGAGAAAAGCACACACACATACACACACGCACACGTGCACAATTGCACAAGCAGCTGTTGCTTGTTGTTGTTGTTTTTTCTTTGTTGCTGTTGTGCATTGGAAACTGGATAAACAAATAAAAAAGTCAAGCCCCCACTTTTAGTTATTGTGGATCTATTTATGGGGCTCGTCGCAGTTGTTGTTTTTGTAGAGTAATTGCAACTATTTTAGAAAAATGTAGAATAAGCTTGAAAAAGATAAAACGATAATTTCCAACTAAGATTAAAAAAGAAGCCGGAAGTTTCAATCGAATGCAAATTGATCTTGTTAACTTTGAACCATGGCTAATCAATAATTTTTGCAACGTCGTGTCTCTGCTCTACTCTTTCAGCTCGATGGTCAACTGACTACGGAACTCGCTACGGACGCCGCTCATCAGTTTCCGGCTAATGAGGAGCCGAATGTGCTGGGACATGGCCCGGACTTTGACGACAAGTTGGCCAAATTCAAATGGCTGTGCAACTTTGATGATGTGAGTGCCACGCGGATGCCCTTTCAGTCTATCAATCTCTCAAGCTCACTGCCATTTTGATTGACCAAGTGCCAGCAGAGCTAACCCCCTTCCAAACCCCCCTCGTAGTTGGAAGGCCAAAAGGCGAGCTAAACACAACCTTCTTATTTATTATTTATGCCAGTTAATTTACATGTATTCAACTCTTTGGTTTATTGCTATTGCCAGATACATTTGTGTATCTGGCAGATACTATCTTCAGGCAGCTAGCTTCATATTTGCCGTGTGCCCAAACTATTTGCGAGTGCGTGCTGTAAATGGCCAAAACGCCGAGCAATGCAAAACGTGGCAACAATTGCCAAATAGTCGTAATACAAATAGGCACGAAAACGACAACATAACAAAATGACAACAGCCCCAACAAACTAAATCAAGGTCGATTTTATTATTAACCGAAAGCAAAAAAAACAGCGAGAGAGAGAGAGAGAAAGAGAGAGAGAAAGAGAGAAACCCGTACAGATACAGCCTAGCAAAAGAAGACGCTGCATTTCTCTGTACTTTATATGAAATGATATATCTATATAGCTAGATAGGTTTTGGTCTTATGCCTCGGATTACTGAATTTGATCGTTATGTTTTTAAATTGTTAACTCTTTTAACTGTTACGAGTGGAACTGTCAACAACAAAAACAAGATTCGTCCTACGCCTCGAACCAACTTCTCGGCTCTAGGCGTGATTTGTAAACCTTGTTTCCCACACTCTTGCCCTGGGTTTCGTTTCTGTCCAATTTCAAATAAAAGCACTTTAGTGTATAGTATTAACATACATTTTAAAAATTAAACAGTTCAGCTCAGGTTTCAATTCATTTGATTAAAAGATTGGTTGCATAAGTAAGATAGTTGAAGTACCGGGGGTTCGAGCCGGTGTAGCTTAAAAGCGTGGCTTCATATCTTAAGTTTAAGATTTTATGCGCAGTGTATAGGATAGTATTTTAAGCTTTCAAACTAACTTTTTATCACCTTGTCTGGAACTCGAACCCGAACCCCCGTTGTTAAGTTGAAAGATTCGAGCCCGAAAGGGTGTACGAACTTCGATAGGCGATAACAATTTGAAGACATTTGCTTGTTAATGAACATTTAATTCATTCGCTGTACTTGCGTAATTGAGACTTTGGCCATTTGAATTTGGCGCGTGGCCAACGGAGCAAAAGCGTTTGCCCCTGCAATCTTCTTCTTTGCATTGTTTTTAGTTAGTTTAGCTTTTCAATTAAAAATGCATTTGATGTTTGGCTTGACCATGCAATACCATAAAAAACTAACGAGTCTTTGATCATTTCTCTGACACAGGCGCCAAGTCATTTGAAGTTCAATCCGTATATAAGACGTGGCTATCGCACATTCCTGTCCAACAAGCTGTGCCTGCAGAGTATTTTCTGGTGGACTAATGAGACGGTGAGTTAAATTCGTAAGTCCTTTACAAAAGCTTTAAGTGAACTTTGAGCTTTAGGTGACCCTAATGGCTTTTTGCTTATATATTAAAGCTTTTTTTGTGTGTGTCTGTTCTCGCAGGCCTGTGCTTGGTTTTGTATTTAGTTACTTGATCGAGCTTTAAGTAAGCTTCATTCATAGAATGAAAGCTTTAATGTTCTGCCTAAGATATTTTAAATGGCTTTTTGCATATTTCTAACGAGTGGATCTTACTTTTTATAAATTTTAGTCAGTTGCTGGAGCTTTTAGACTTAACTATAATATCAACAAAGCTTTAATAATATTTAAGCATGCTTCAATGTGTAATATTAAAATTTTTAAAGGGAGCTAAAAGTTAGCATTTTGAACTTATCTTATTATTAATTTTCTTTTTTATTCGCTAATAGATCAATATCTGGAGTCATTTGGCTGGCTGCATCCTGTTCATCGGGCTGACAATCTTTGACCTTCAATTTCTGCGCCAGCATGCAGAGGTTACTGATCAGGTGCTCGTGGTCTGTTTGCTGGTCTGCTTCTGTCTGTGCATGCTGATGTCGGCCATATATCATATATTCTCCTGCAAGTCGGAGGAGCACTACGAGCTCTTTCTATCTGTGGATTTTCTGGGCATATCCCTCTCGCTGGTGGCCATCTACATAAGTGGCATGTACTATGCCTTCTGGTGCCATACGGTATGTGAATGCCCATTCATAATTATAAATCTTAACTAATTGTATTCTTTTTTAGTTCCTGCGCACAATATACTCTACCATTGCGCTGGGCATGTTTGGCCTGGCCATTGCCGTGCAGATACCCCAGCTGAATGTCTCCATGAACGGCAAGGTGGCTGTGCTCCTGCTGTGGTCCGCATACGGCATACTGCCGCTGGGCCACTGGGCGGTGGCCATGGGCGGGCTGGAGAACGAGCTGGTCGGCCTGATGGTGCCACGGATTGTTGTCATGTATCTGCTCTGCTTGGTGGCCTTTGTGTTCTATGCCGCCAAAATACCCGAGCGTTGGCTCACCGGCAAAGTGGACTTTGTCGGCCACTCGCACAACTGGTGGCATCTGATCATTGTGGCCGCCTTTTACCACTGGCACAACACGGGCCTCGTCTATGCCGAGTATCGTCTCAACAATGGCTGCAGCGCTGGCCCGGTTCTATCCTGAGTTTCCGCTCTGCGGACTGGTAGTGTCCATTGTAAATAGTCTAGATGCACTAAGTTTTAACTAATATTTAGTTGTAGCTGTTGAGAGATATATTGTTAATTTATACACTTACTTACACTTACACATACACACACACACACACACACACACAGACATATACACATAGACTAATGCGTGTGTGTAATTAGGGTTCTTACTACAATAATCGAATGAACTGTGAAGCTGGTTTTTTATTAATGCCCACGAAGAGAGAAACGTGAATCTGGTTAAATCTATTTTATGTACACTTACAATTTATTAATGCAAATATATTAAAGTACAAAAAAGCTACTAATAATTGGTCGATAGTGTATTTATCATATTTTATTAAGAAACTCATAATTAGGCTCTGTTCATAATGTAAAAAAGAATACTATTGTGTCGTGTTCGCTTAGTTTTGAATATACACTTGTGTATACCTGCACTCTTATGCCACGTCCCTCAAGGAGTGAAGTTTTGAATATACACTTGTGTATACCTGCACTCTTATGCCACGTCCCTCAAGGAGTGAAGATTAAAAGCTTTTCTGATTGCAGCTTATGAGTCCGCGAGTTATTTTCTAACTTTAAAGGGTATTTAAACGTCGTCGGGCGCAAGCATTGTTTTTTTTCTGTATAATTTGTTATCCAAGTCGTAAACCAATTCTAAGCCATTAAGTCTCGTGGAGTTTGATTTCTACAGCGTTTCTTAGGTTTATGTACCTACTATTATTGGACGAGGGTTCTTGTATTTTCTAGCTTAGGTGTTTGCACATCACTAAGTAGATTTGTGTCTCGACTCTAATGCACAGCCAAGCCACAGGTTCTCAACTTCGCTTTTCTACCTACCTATTTTTAACGAAAATCAAATGGTGTGTGTATTCGCTATGTCTTTAGCTCGCGATTAGCACAGTAGGCTTGTTTTTGAAAATTTTACGTTAAATTTATATTAAATAAATTTTTTGACTCGCGAAAAAATATTAAAATATTTTTAAATTTTGTACACAACTGAGCTTGTAGCACCTTTACCCTAACCTAGGCGTAGTTGCTGTTCATAATGAACACTTTGGGCCCATCGATGGGCGGCGCATCGCACAAATTACATTAAAAATTCAAATATTCATAAGTAAATTCATGACAAGTCGCCGCCGCACGTCTTGTGAAGCACTGCGCAACTTTATTGTTGTTGTTGTTGCTGCTGCTGCTGTTGTTGTTGTTGTTGTTGTTGCCAAACAAGATGGCGACTGGCAAATGGGCGCCCAGTTGGTAGGGTAGACAGCAAAGCGGGGTTACTCCACAAAGACTTGAGTTAATTATTCATGGAATGTCGTTGCCAGCAGTTGAGCAACAACATGAACAACAGCAGCAACAACAACAAAAGACAAGTGAAGCACTGTGGGCGCCCTGTAGTAGGAGCGACCCTTTTTAATATTTATGAACACAACCGATTCTCTAATTATAATTAGGAATTGAAAAGTTAGCACAAAAGGACATCCACAGCAACAACAACAACAACAACAGCAACAACAGCAACAAGGAGAACAAAGCACAAAGCGCCAGGCACGCAACAAAAGTTTGTGTGCACTGAATCATAATTAAAGGGGTGTGTGGGTGTGTTTTTTGGCTGGTAGTTGGCCTGGGGAAGGAGCGGGGTCGGGGTTGGGGGTACGCACAATGTTGGGGGTTGGCGTTCTGTTATTGTTCATAGCAACAACAGCAGCAGCCACAAAATGGCGAACCGAATGCTATTTTAATGGCTGGCACTTGAGATTTTCGCTGGAGTTTTCAAGATTTTTTGGTTATTAGGAAATGGTTAATTATTAAAGAATGTACCAATATCTAGCTTACTTACATTTTTTTCTCATTACATTAAATTCTGTTTAAACTTTACGCGTCAGTCTTTGTATGAGTCAGTTCGAGAAGAGTGAAAAAAAGAAAATAAAAACATTTTCAGATGGGTAAAAAAAAGGAGCTAAAATTTTTACTGTAGTGTGGAAAAATAGCGAAAAACGTAGAACTAAATTTTACACGGGCGGGAGACGGATGAAAAACGATGTCTATGTATAATGTTATTAAACCCGCTATATGTATGTATGTATGTATGTTTGAATGTATGTATGTAAGTAGATATGTATGTATGTATGAATGAACGACTTATTTAATTGTTAATCAAATAAAGAGTCTTTTAGAATATACATTGTATACTTATTATTTAGCAAATTTTTATATATATTTTAATATAAGTAATAATATTGTCAGTTTTTAAAATATTTATTCATTTTATTCCACATCTCGAACGTAAGCTTGATAAAAACTATTTATATAATAGTAATAAAAAGGGTATAATATATTTGTTCAAATGTATGTAACAGGCAGAAGGAATCATCTCCGACCCCATAAAATATATGTATATTCTTGGTCAGGATCCATAGCCGACTCGATCTTACGATCGAACGCAAGGATCTTAGAACCTAAAGGACAAATTATGAACGTAGGTCTCCGATAGGATAGCTTACCCCGTTTCCAAGCATTCGATAAAAATCGATTTACAAATTCGGTTTTTCGAGCAAATTGCCTAGAGCTAGAGTCACCAAATTTGACATGTAGCTTCTAGAATAGTATATATATATCAAATATCTTTCATTTTATATCCTCCTCCCCCCGTTGGGAACTACCTACTGGAACGACTTACTTGCTTTTGTTTCTATCAGGCATATCAAGCATGTTGAGTGCTTCCCATAGCTCCTAACTAACCAGCAACTAGAATCATAGTTGAAACCTTTGCAAACAGCTGCTGTAAAGACTTCTTGTCTCTTTGATACGCTCAGCTTACATGGCACTTCAGTCAGGCGTAGTTCCAAGCCCAGAACGTCATTTGTCCTACCTCTATTATAATATTTATTTGTACTCGAAGCGTGCTCTATGACAAACAAATACGAGAGCTACCCCGAGAGAATTTGAATATGCGCGCATCGCTTCAGCTGCCTCTGTTTGGCAGCTCCCTAATCCCATGCTTGGAGCTGGAGCACGGGGCAGCCACATCCACATTTTCACATCTAATTACGTTGCATGCAGCGCGGCAACAACTCAGTGACGTAATGAGGCAGCTCACGAGGCAATTTGCTCGTCGTCATGCCTCAATTGTGGACCAAAATTGAAAAAAAAAATAATATTTTTTTTGATCATATTTTGGTTGAAACAATTGAGCGACACGCGTTGCCTGCCAGCGCGTGAAATTGCTGTCAATTAAGTGGCAGGGCCAGCTAATACTTTCCACGGCAAATAAGAATTTGACTGCAGCTTGTGGCACAACCTGCCAGCAGCAGTGGCAGCAACAGTGGCAGCAACTTCAAGTGCAATTGTTGCTGCTTGGTGTGGCGCAGTTTTCCATAGATTATGTTAGACAGATGCCCGCCTCAACTGGCCGGCTATAAATAGAGGCCGCCTCGACTGACAGTTAAGCAAATGAACCCATAAGTCAAATCGAACAGCCGCTCGACTGCGACTGCTGCGACTGCTGCTGCTGCTGTTTTTTAGGGCTTAAGTGGGCTTAGCTCGAGCGACAAATGGCGCGACGTTGTCGGCGCTGGAGCAGTTTTTAGTTTCTATGTTGCATACGCAACATGCAGCATGCAGCATGCACATGGGCTTAACTGGGCTTAACTCGCGCTGCTGCAACTATTTTCGGATACATTTTGTTGCATTGCACGGTTGCAGTTCATAATTTGACTTTGTCGCCGCATTTTATGCGCTTTTAATTGGTTTTTGCTCAACTCAAACAATGCCTCAAGTTGTGGACTCGGCAAGGAGCGGGGAGGGGGGTTGTTCTGGTTAGGGTGTCTGTGATTCTTTTCACTTTCATTCAGTTGCGCCATTAAGTTAATGTCCTTGCCACAGGCCGGGAAATTAAAGTGCTTTCTTAACATTTACATAGAACATTTAGCAAACATATCGCTGGCAAGTAACTTCATTTATTTTGTGCCTGCCACAGGGTGTGCGTGTGTGTGTGTGTGTGTGTGTGTGTGAGTGTGGCAGGGTGCATGGTGTGTGCCACATTGAAGAGCAGGCCGAAACGCTTTGCCAGTTGAGCGCAATATCCATAAAATGCGCAGATAACCATAAGTCCTGTTTAAGTCGCATGTTTTTGGACGCACGCAGCAAGAGGGCTGGAGAGGGGGGGGGGGGGTGGTGGTGTGAGGGGCGTGTTACGTATGTGGCTGGCTGCGTGTGGCAAGTGCGTTCAGTCTGCAGGACATTGTCGCAGCTTCCTCTCGCTGCCGTTGCCTCATCTACATAACAATAAAATAAAAGGGGCCGCTGTCGTGCTTTTTTTCTCGATTCTTTTGCTTTTGCTGCTGCTGCCAAACATTAACCTAATTTTATATACATTTAATTTTATTTTATTTAATTTTAACTCACACACATACACACCCTTTGGGACTTTCGTATGTGTGTGTGTGTGTGTCTGAGGCAGCTCAATGATTTGGGCTATTATTACCAAATTTTGTGCTGTTCCGCACGAAATTGGCATTGCTTTTGCCCATACACAATAAAAGTGTTCTTCGAATTTGGATATATGTTCCCAATTCTTAGTAAAAACTAAACCGATTTAGGTTCTTTCTGATTGGTCCTTGAAATTGTTTAAGTAAAGTTAAATCTAGATGTTTGTTCATCATCCAAAAGTTACTCCTTAACTGGAATTAAAACATATCATAATAATTATATTAATTCCTATTTCATCATAATCACATCACTTTTTCAGTAGTAAGTACTTTTGCATGTATGCATTTATGTATGTATGTATGTATGGATGTATGTATGTATGTAGTTATGTATGTATGTATGTATGTATGTATGTATTAAGTGTGCTGTTATGTATTGGGTGTGTATGTATGTATTCATTAATGTGTATGAATTGTAAACCAAACGCAGACTAAGTTTACCTTACGTTGCGCTGCAAATTAATCAATTAAGAGAGAATCGACTTAAGAATCCCCGGTATCATTTCAAACGCATTTTTTTATATTTTTGGGGGTCTATCTTTTGTCGTTCATACAGAAGGACGTGGCTAAATCAATTCACCCCGATGTTCTGCAAAAAAACAATCATAACCCATTTTATC